GAATGTTCGTTGGACATCCAGGTGGCGAAATGGCTCCAGGTGAATCTCTTTGGCTTCCCCATGATGATCCTATCAAAGCACTTGTTTATGTAGTCCGTCAAGTTGGCCAAATCTTCGCCACCTTCCTCTAGAGTGTACCTTAGAAGCCACTGAGTTTCTTTCTTTTCAAGATTTTAAGTTAGATTGGAAAACATAATTTTACTGGATAAATGAATGAACTAGCGCGCCTTGTTTGAATCTCACAGGATCTGCAGTTCATCCAGGATGGCACATCAATGCGAGCTGTGGCAAGAAGGTTTGTGGTGTCCCTCAGCACAGTGTCCAGAGCATGGAGGAGATACCAGGAGACAGGCCAGTACACTAGGAGACGGTGGAGGGGGCAGTAGGAGGGCAACAATGCAGCAGTAGGACAGCTACCTCCTCCTTTGTACAAGGAGGAACAGGAGGAGCACTGCCAGAGCCCTACAAAATGACCTCCAGCAGGCCACTAATATGCATGTTTCAGCTCAAACTGTCAGAAACAGACTCCATGAGGGTAGTATGAGGGCCCGACGTCCACCAGTGGGGCCTGTGCTCACAGCCCAACACCGTGCAGGGAGATCGGCATTTGCCAGAGAACACCAAGATTGGCAGATTGGCCATTGGTACCCTGTGGTCTTCACCGATGAGAGCAGGTTCACACTGAGCACATGAGACAGACGTGACAGAGTTTGGAGATGCTGTGGAGAACAGTGACATGCGGTGAGGTTCATGGCTGGTGAGACTTCGTCAGAATCTGATTTACAAATATATGCACTCTACAGAGTAGCATATTTGCCATTTGATTGGCAGCAGTTTGCGGGTCATGTTTCATATCTGCATTTTTTACACATACGAGCATGTTTCTTTCTTTTTTTTTTGAAAAGTTATTGCGGTCTTACCTTTACCTTTAAATGAAGTCCATGCGTCGCTCCTTCTGGACAAAATATCCGTTGCTTTTTTGTAAAAGTCTCCTGATCTTCCTTTGCTGCACTTGACTTGCTAACTGTACACCTTACCTAGTCTAGCGCTTGCTGTCACTTACTCTGCAGCCGCGGAGTCACATGTCTGGGATCATGAGCCCTCCCTGCCATGAGGCAAGAGAACTACCTGCCTCACCTAGAACCTCTTCTCAGCTGTTTGTGAACGCTAAGCACACGGAACACTTTACACACATACAGTTGGTAACAAAAAACACTGTACATTATTATATACATCAGCTGAACTATGGAAAATTTGATTGGATATGGAGTTAAACCTGCTGGATAGAAGGAATAAACGCTATCGCTACTGACAGAAGTGCTTTGGAATGGTTTCTTGGAACGCGCGTCTGACAGATAGCCGAACCCCAAGTTTAGCCCACAGTGGCCCTCAATTAGTCCCGTTTTGCCGCAATACTATGGACTGGCCTGCCCATTCCCCAGACCTGAACTGAGCACATCTGGGACATCCTGTCTCGTTCCATCCACCAATGCCACGTTGTACCACAGACTGTCCAGGAGTTGACTGATGCTTTAATCAAGGTCTGGGAGGAAATCCCTTAGGAGAACATCCATCAGCTCATCAGGAGCATGCCCAGGTGTTGTAGAGAGGTCATACAGGCACGTGGAGGCCACACACAATACTGAGCCTCATTTCGACTTCCATCCATCCATTATCTATACACCGCTTAATCCTCACTAGGGTCGCGGGGGGGCTGGAGCCCATTCCAGCCAACTCAGGGCGAAGGCAGGGGACACCCTGGACAGGTCGCCAGTCTATCGCAGGGCCACACATAGAGACAGACAACCAAGCACACCCACATTCCCACCTACGGACAATTTAGAACCTCAACATGTTTTTGGACTGTGTGGGAGGAAGCCGGAGAACCCGGAGAGAACCCACGCTGCACGGGGAGAACATGCAAACTCCACGCAGAAAGATTCCGGTGCCCCCACCGGAACCGGCAACCTTCTTGCTGCGAGGCAACAGTGCTACCAACTGCGCCACCCTGCAGCCCCTCATTTCAACTTGTCTTGACGAATTTCCACTGATATTGGATCAGCCTGTAAGATGATTTTCCACTTTTATTTTGAGTATGATTCCAATCCAGACCATGGGATAATAAATTTGATTTACAGTGATCATTTTTATGTTATTTCGTTCTCAACGCATTCCACTATGTAATGAATAAAGATTTTCAACTGCAATATTTCATTCATTGAGATCGAGGACATGTTATTTTAGTGTTCACTTTATTTTTTTTAGCAGTGTATACACACATGGACAAAATTGTTGGTACCCCTTGGTTAATGAAAGCAAAACCCACAATGGTCATAGAAATAACTTGAATCTGACAAAAGTAATAATAAATTTTAAAAAATTCTATGAAAATTGAGCAATGAAAATCAGACATTGCTTTTGAACCGTGGTTCAACTGAATTATTTTTAAAAATGAACTCATGAAACAGGCCTGGACAAAAATGATGGTACTCTGAGAAAAGACTGAAAATAATGTGACCATTGGGGACATGTTCAATCAGTCGCGGTCATGAGCCTTGCAACAGGATAATGAACCAAAACACACAGCTAAAAACACCCAAGAATGGCTAAGAGGAACACATTGGACTATTCTGAAGTGGCCTTCTATGAGCCCTGATCTAAATCCTATTGAACATCTGTGGCTGATATATGCGGTCTGGAGAAGGAATCCTCCAAACTTGAGACAACTGGAGCAGTCTGCTCATGAGGAGTGGGCCAAAATACCTGCTGAGAGGTGCAGAAGTCTCACTGACAGTTACAGAAATTGTTTGATTGCAGTGATTGCCTCAAAAGGTTGTGCAAGAAAATATTAGGTTACGGGTACCATCATTTTTGTCCAGGCCTGTTTCATGAGATTTTAAAAAAAAAATAATTCTGCTAAACCACGGTTCAAAAGCAATGTCTGATTTCCATTGGTTAATTAGGGTCCGAGCACTAACAGTGCAAGGACCCTATTGAAACCCACAGGTTATGTCAATGTCCATTCACAATCATTGCGCCCACCTGCTGACAATAGGAAAGCAGGTGTTTTACACTTTCATGTACATTTTTAACATCTACTGCAGCCAGCATGTTTCACCTATATCCATGAAATTTGATGGACATATGCAGCATATCCAAACAAACAAAAAAGTCAGTGGCACCATTCACCTAAACCCAACAGGAAGTCGGCCATTTTGGATTTTTCGTTTCTCCACCCTGAGCACACTCCTCCTACGGGGTAAACCACAGAGCACGGAATTTTGGGTAGCTTGTAGAGTACGATTTGAAGGTAAAAATTTCTCAAAAGTTCTGCATTTCGTTGAAGGGTGTGGCCGTGGTGGCTCTCTGAGTTTTGATCCTTCGCCATCACAAAGGAAGCATGTCTAACAACCCTGTACATGCTCCAATCTCCCTCAGACTTTACATACTTGATCACAGTTCTGCCCTGATGAAACCCAATATCCATTCAAAATCATAGCACCACCTGTTGGCAAGAAGAAAGAACATGTTTTACACTTTCATGTGCTATTATTAGCCTGTCCACTGTATTGACCTCAAATCTGATGACATGAGCTTTTATATGTTGATGATGACTCATACCAAAATTTGTGACTTTTCATCAAATGGCGTGCTGTTGGCGGCCCTCTAAACGCTCTGACTGCAGCCTGCTCCTGCACTTCTGAGGAGACACAATGAGGCCTCAGGCTTGAATGGAGTCAGATCTCCAGCTCATGGACAAACGGAACAATGTCAGCATTCTGCAGAACTGTGACACTTAACTGCATATACTATTTCATGAGAAAAGGGTTGCCGTTAGGTGATTGTCACTTTTCCCGCAGTGCATTTCTGCCACAACCCTGTCGTGCGCCACGTCCAATGCCACTTGCGAGTTTAATTATTATTTTTCTGCCAAAAGAAATGCGATTTTGAGGGCTAAACAAAACTCACCAAAATCGCCACACACACCAGGACTGCCAAAAAATTTTTAGATTTTAAGGGACTTGGATATGTCAATGCCAAAATGGCTCCACAGCGCCCCCTTGAAAATTCCAACGGAGTCCTGTCGGAAGCACATTTGACCTAGACCTACGCAATTTGGTAGCCATATAGAGCAGGTCAGGACAAACGAAAAGTCAGCCAGGTCCAACCTTCAAAATGCAACACGGCTCAACTGTGCCCTCTACAATATTTCAGCAGAGACCCATTGCGGCTATGTTTGACTTAGAGCTACGAAAATCAGTGCACATATGTAGCAGGTTGTGACGCACAAAAAAGTCCATTAGCACTTTTCTGTTAACCTGACATGAAATCTGCCACGTAGGAAAAACTGTGAGCATGCTGGGCCATTTTCGCTCATTTTTGGCCATTTTCACAATCGATCTACTCCTAGAGGTTATATCATACACACCTGAAATTTGGCTAGCACAAACTACAGGACGTGGTGATTAAAAGTTATCAAAACGCTCCGGATAAGTGTGACGGGATGGAAATGGCGGCCCGTGCAATTTCGATCAATGGCCATTTTGCCCATTTTTATTGTGTTTCTGGCATTCAGCGGAGTCTTGTCAGATGGCTGTGTCTCCTACAGCTACAGGATTCGGTGGGTATGTGTAGCAGGTTAGGACGCACAAAAAAGTCATGAACACCAAGGCCTAAACCCAACAGGAAGGCCGCCATTTTGAAAAAACAGTGGGAATTTAGGCAATTTTCCCTCATTTTTGGCCATTTTCAAAATCTATCTCCTCCTACAGGGATGGTCATACACACCTGAAATTTGGCCAGCACAATCTGCAGGAGGTGGTGATTAAAAGCAATTAAAATGGTCTCCAAAAGTCTGACGACGTAGACATGGCGACCCCCGGAATTTGGCCAAAACGCCTAAAACGGCATAATACGAGACGAGTAACTGGCGTGTGTGCTCCAGTCGGCCTAAAACTTTACACGCGTGCTCCAAGTCTCAGCTAGAGCGCGTTTCTGCCATGGCCGCTAAACAGAAATTGGTTCGTAACACGTTCGCCACACGTGCTCCGATCTGCTCCAAACTTGAGAAGCCGGATCACAGTCTCAACTGGAGTTTGTGCCACACCCCGACGTACGTGAAGGCCGACAATCGTACGGCGAAGACCCAGTCATCAAAAACAATGGTTATGCAATCAAGTACCAACTCCTGTGTGTATCAAGTGACTAAAACAGACAGAAAAGAAAACAGGGAATGCCTAAAAGCACTGTTTTCGGCAGTATAATGCCATAGCTATTGATGTAAGAACTTAGGTGATTTTGGTTATTATCAAGAAAACCATGGAATATGGGTAGATATCAGCTTTTAAATAAAGTCTTATGAGCTATTTCTGTTGTTGTCATTATATTTGTCCAAACAAATGTACCTTTAGTGGTATCAGGCATTAAAATGAACAAGAAATTGAAGAAAACAAGGGTGTTTTAATAATTTTTCCATGACTGTATATTGGTATCCCAGATTGTGCTTTTTTTCTTGCTATAGTAAGGGTACATGTCAATTGCAAGGATGCTATGTAATCTACAAGCAAAACGTAAATGCCCATAGCTTCTTACAGGGTTAATATGATGCCATATGACTTGTAGCTTTGCAATTCACCGAATTTTTAGGGCATCTCTAACCAGATGTTTTTCATATCAGATCTAGGCCATTTGCATACGTAACCCCAGATCTGATTCATATCCAATCTCTGGTTACACAGCAGGCAGAGCTGTCAGATTAGGGTTTATCTGCTTCTTAAGTATCTCATTTGATTGCATGTACAACTGTACCTGTCATAATTCAGTGCTGGCTCGCGACAATTATTTTTATAATATATTATTATAATATTATTTCTCTCTCCTCTCACCCAAACCACTTGAGGCAGACGGCCGCCCACCGTGAGTCTGGTTCTGTTGGAGCTTCCTGCTAAAAGGGAGTTTCTCATTTACACTGTCACCAAGTACTTTCTTTTTTAAGGTGAAACTGTTGTCGTTGTTTTTTTCTTTAGAATGTTTTATAATGGGCTGCAGGGTGGTGCAGTTGGTAGCACTGTTGCCTCGCAGCAAGAAGGTTGCCGATTCGTGTCCCAGTGGGGGCAACGGAATCTTTCACGTGCAGCGTGGGTTCTCTCCGGGTTCTCCGGCTTCCTCCCACAGTCCAAAAACATGTTGAGGTTAATTGGTGATTCTAAATTGTCCGTAGGTGTGAATGTGAGTGTGCTTGGTTGTCTGTCTCTAAGTGTAGCCCTGTGATAGACTGGCAACCTGTCCAGGGTGTCCCCTGCCTTCGCCCTAAGTCAGCTGGGATAGGCTCCAGCCACCCCGCGACCCTAGTGACGATTTAAGTGGTTTATAGAAAATGGATGGATGGATGGATTATTGCACAGGGCCTGTACATTATTTCATGCGAATCTGTTGTATCATAACTTATTTTCCTTCAATTAAAATGAGCAACAGAGTTTTTGTTAAAATGCCTTTCATTTTAAGTGTCAACTAATAGACTAAAAATGCCAACACTGTTGCTTGCATTGAATAAAGAATACGACATGCTATGACATGCTTTTCCTCTGCTTAGTAATATGCTTAAATTCAGCGGGTCGTCTCGTCTGATCTAAGGTCGTAGTTGTAGGCAGTTTTCCGTGGCCTCTTTGGCTATTGTTGTAGGCACTTACTTTCCCTGGTCTCCGATCTGTTTAATGCTTGACCTGTGGTGTCAGGTTCAATAATAAGCTACACTCCAGGATGTTCATACATGTCACTTAGAAGCATGTATGTGAACCATAAGCACAAAAAAATCAAACCTGACTAAAAAATTTAAATAAAGCATTAAGTCCTTTAGTGTTAGTGTAACTAAATTCTGATTGTGGTGACATGTGGTTATATACACTCAGTAATTCAGAAACACTGCAAGTCCATTCTGAGATATGGGAATATTATAGTGTTGTTTGTGGGTAAGGCACATAAAGTGAAATGCTTCATACAGACTGTCGTCTAGCCACAGAAAAATAAAATGCACAGTCGTCTGCACTGATGTGTGTAGGATATGAATGGAATTGACAAGCTCATCTTGTGAAAAATTGGAATAATGTACTTCCATCGTCACACACACTACAGCAGAGAGAGGTGAGTGCTGCTTCTGAATACAAGAGAACAGAGGCAAGGCCAGAGGAGCACTGAGGGGCCTGACAGCAGTCTGATAACAGGCCACTACTGAATGATTCAATCAGGCAGCTCAGCCCCTCAGCCAAGTGCCAAGATGGGCCCATCCCTGTGTGTTAGAACGATTAGCTGTACACGCATGATGAGGGACGAAGGAATTTGTCATCATTTGCATCATTCCACTGAGATGGAACTACAGCTAGTGATAGGTCTCGAGCTTGTCATGTCCCACAGGCAATTTTCAGTTGGAGTATTGAAGAATCTTTTTTTTTCTGCACTGTAAACAAAAAGTTCACTTTCAATTTGTTAGAAAAGAAACATAAGAATGTAGACCATTTGGTGCTCTATCGGAATGGTTCCCAGATCATTTGTGGCACCACAAAATATTTAGTTTGCCTTTCTGTATAATATTCCCATCTTTAAATACACTAATACATTGCGTGCATGTGTGTGTACGTACATTTTTTGTCAAAAGAGCATTCACCAAGCCCTGCAACCTATGTGGAATCATTTCTCTTTGTCCAGTAACTTTTTAAGTCTTTCCATTTATTTATCATGCGTCCTACTCTTACACTATTTGGTGCTTCCATGTATCTGTCACGCGGACAGTCACTCTCTCTCCTCCACTCAGCCTGAGCCCTGCAGGAGGGCGTGCCCTGGGGCGGCAACGCTTGGTGGCAGCAGGTGTTGGCAATGACTGAGTGCCAACACCTGCCCTTTATAAGCGGCGGCAGAATCCACCAACGTTGCCGGACCGTTCTCCAGTTCGTCTGCTGAACCCGTCAGTTCCAGCCCTGTCTGAGTCTGAACCTCGTCAGTCGTGCCTCCAGTCCGACTTTCACCTGCCTGTCTGCTGTCCCCAGCTGTAACCGAAGAGCGGAGATTATTTCACCTCAGCCTGCTGCGTGTTCAGCTACCTACGGCTCCTCGTCTCCTGCTTCCGTCACTCTGGATCCCCTTCCCTTTTCCCTATGCTACTCCGTCAGGTGACAGTCAACCGTAAGATTTGTAAATAGTGTATACAGTGTAAATTGTGTTTATAGTTTAGATTGTGCTTATTGTTCGCTTTTCCGTGCTCGGTAGTACCGGGTTTGGGTTTAGCTTGTTCTCCGTCAGTCCGCCGTATCGCTAGATAGCGCTCGTGTATTTAGGTTGTTTTCCTGTCAGTTTACGTTAGTTCTGGTTGTAGTTTACTGTTTAGTCTCTGAGTGTTTCTGTTTCACTCTAAATATTGCACCGCACTTTGTAAATAAATTAACTTCTAAATTCATCCGTCTGTCTGCCGTGTCTCTGTCGTCTGAGGCTTCAGTCTCTGAACGGTTCGTAACAACAGCCATTGAGAAGTCAGGTTGGTCACATTGTAATATCAGTAAATTGTTTAATTTGCTGACTTTGTTTAAACATCAACTGCCACATCATGACACAGTTTTATGGGGAAAAAACGACCCCCAGTGTACTGTATGTATATTTACACTTTAAAAAAAAACATTACAATAAAATGCCTTTCTGTCTTAGAGTTACTGTAACTGTTGATGAACTTCAACCATTTAAAACAAACACAGGGGCCATAGGTCTCTTCAAAGGACTGATTGAGGATCCACTGTCTGAAATGGCAGTTATGGGGAACTGTGGAAGTAAAGACAAGATCTGGAAATAAGCGACCTTTCAAATACAACTGCATGTCTGCTGGGATGGAAGTCCAAGACAAGAGAGATGCATGTAGCTGTAGATAGATCTGCAAGAGGTGTGGCTACAAATTCCTAAATCAGGAACAGGATGACTCGTAGCTGGATACAAAAGGTTTTTGCAAGCTCTGATATCTGCTCGATCTGGGGTCTCTGGGTCTTTTTACATACCCCAATTACTCTTGAAGTTCAATTGTATTTTCTAATTAAATAAAAACTAACAGTGTGTTAACATTTGAATAATTAATGTTATGTTTAATGTATGGTTATCAGGGTTCTATTAACTTCTTTCGCAACCAACAACATATTGAATTTCCCCCAGGTTCCCAAACTTTTGCGACTAAGTAAGTGGATGAAAGTGGATGAGGTATTTGTGGACACTAAGTGTAAAGCTATCAGTCTACCTGCAGTTTATTGAAGGGGACTGATTGTTTTAGTTTCTTTCTGTGTAATACATTTGTTCACGGGGCTGCAAGGTGGCGCAGTTGGTAGCACTGTTGCCTCGCAGCAAGAAGGTTGCCGGTTCACGTCCCAGTGGGGGCACCGGAATCTTTCTGCATGGAGTTTGCATGTTCTCCCCGTGCAGCGTGGGTT